ATGAACAAGAGCCGTCATTCAACAGTGGTCCTACGACAGGTGGAATTGTCGCTACTCAACGAAAAAGACGGCCAGAGGACCCACATTTACACCGATGGATCGGTCTCGGCTGACAGCTCCACAGGTGCTGTTGTCATCACGACGTACCAGATCACTATAAAGTTCAAACTGTCACATGGGACAACATCCACGGCAGCGGAGCTTGCCGCCTGTTATGTCTGCAGGTCCGCAGCGAACGTCCATGCCTCGGAAAAAGGAAATCTGTGTCAAGGCCAGCACGCGAGCCCACCTGACGCGATGAACAATTCAACGGCGTCATCACGCGACGGCGCCTTTCTGCCGCGCACGTGCAGTGAGTCACGTCAGCCAGCGAGCCAACGCCTTCCTGTCTGGCGAGTCTGACGCAATGCGTGGCGACGTCACTCGTCCTTCGGTGCAGCCACGTGCAACGCAGCGGCTCCAGATTCGATAAGGAAGAATGACGCGGCCCCGCGGCGACCCCGTTCGAGGAGTCTGACCTCACGACCAGCAGCGCTTCTGGTTGGACGTTTGGTTACTCAAAGAATCCACCCGGTGCATATAAAATAAGCCCTGCGACGCGTCGCGAGCAGTTGAGCTATGTCTTAGCAGAAGACCTATGTGTAAGAGAAAAGAGCTCGGCTGTCCGAGTCTCTGAGCTCTCGGCCCCTGTGCCGAATTTGTAACGCCTCTGTGTATATGCGGTACATAGACCTTGTATAACTGACCTTCGTCTCGTCTCCCGTCTATCAGCTCTGCGCAGAAGCAGTCGCGAGCTGAGAAACCTACGCTACCAAACGGTTGGTGACTTTCCCGACAGAGTTCAAAGCAGTGGCGCCTTCGGGACCGTGTTGGCGTCGCCGTCTTTCGTAAACAGTGGTTGCAGCGGTGAGATTCGTGGCGCCCTTCGTAACATCGTCTGAGGCGCGCTTCGGAAGACGCCTTACGTGCGGCTATACTCTATATCACGGAAGCCCGACCTCAAAAATGGGCTGTGTTCTGCAACTCCAAGGCATCCCTTCAGAGCTTGCAATCAGCTTTACGACAAAGGGTGCATCAACAACTAGTGAATGAAACAAGAGAAGTGCTTCACGAAGTTTTATCGAAAGGACGTGATGTCGTGTTCCAGTGGTTACCGGGACATTGTGGTATTGTCGGTAACGACCTTGCTGGTAATGCTGCCCGATCTGCCCTCGGGGACGCCCAGACAACCCCCATTCTATTGTAGAAACCGACGCTGCAAGGGGCTTTGACTTGTTCGCTAACACTATGTCAGAAACATGGCTGAGTGACCCCAGTGTCGGGAACCGCCGCCTACACAAATTGGACCCATCGAGAAAGCTTCAAGTTTTATTGGACCTCTCAAGCCAGGATGCAACTTTATCGTGCCGCCTGTGGATAAGAGTAGCTTTTACAAAGGCGTACTTCTTTTGCATAGAAATGGCAGATAGCTCCCGATGTGAATTGTGCGTTACGGATGAGACAATAGAACATCTACTGTGTTCATGTGAACGTTTTGCGAGCGAACGCAACTTACTACGCGAAAGGTTAGAGACACTAGACAGTAGACCTTTTTCCGAAGAGAAGATCCTTGGTACATGGCTCTACGCGTCGCAGGCCAGCAAAGCGACGCGGTCATTGCTAAGTTTTCCAAAGACGACCGGACAACGCGACCGCTTATAAGCGTGCAACGGCAAGGTCAGATCTACACACACGTTTCCCTTCACTTCTCTCTCTCTTCTCGTTCAATCCCCTCACCCATTCCCCCAGTGCAGGGTAGCAAACCGGACGTGCGTCTGGTTGACCTCCCTGCCTTTCATTTCTTCCCTCCTTCCCTCCTCCTCCTACTCTGACGTTGCCCCTCGTTGTGGGGCACGGACCAATCGAATGAAGAAAAAGGGATATACGCTAGGAGGAGCCCGGATATCGGGGTTCACTGTGAGCTGCCCAGGGGGCCCATGATGTGGTACTTGGGCTTGCCTGATGGCCCCGAAGTGGGAGCAGCTGAGCTGCACGTTGGATCGTGCACCTCAGGACTTCAAATAAAGTTTCGCATCCATCTATTCTTCCATCAGCTAGCAGTATGTCCTCAAAATATTAAACTAGTTGATGATGTTGATGATGGTTTCAAATCAATGACGTTCACCCACAAAAGTAATTTGCCCAAGGTCTGGGTGTCAGGATGTTGAAAGTAATGTAATTCGAAACTAAAAGCAATCTGAAATGTTTATTTCAGATAACACTTTAAATTATTAAAAATGCTTACTGAGCAAGCAGTCAGACCATCTTTGTTTTCTGAGAGAAATAACATTGTTGATTGAAAGAGCCGAGCGTTGTTTTATGGTTGTCATGAAGATGACACATACTACAGATCTGTTTTCTTTCAATACCTAAAGGGCGATGACACCAAATTTCAAGCCTGTTGTGTGTTTTTTCTGTGTGCAAAGACTCACCCCACAAAGAGTCGGGCACAAAGAACGCGTAGAATATACTTTATTTAAAATCTAAAGGTGTAGTCGAATGCTCACTCTCGCTATCTAGGCAAATCGCTTGCGCAGCAACACTGACGTTTTATATGGCTGTGTTCCAATTATTAGACAGCACAGACTGCTTAGAAGACAGCACCGAGCCCATGCTGTCCGAGAATTGGAACGCATCTGTATGGCTTTTACGCGACGGTATGTCACCTCGCGTCGAGAAGAGAAAGCCAAATTAAACAAACGTAACAGTTGTATTTTCTGGCTTATTTCGTATTTAAATCAAAACCAAAATTAAGCGTTACTCACATTGACCATCTGAAGAAGCATCTGCTTTTGTGCTGACGACCATTCCGGCTAGATTCAATCTATCTTAGCGATTCGCTGAGCCGCCATCTTGTTTAGGCAGCAAAGTAGCCTGCATCGTATTTCTTCACGACGCGGTTTTCTCGGAGATGTCTATTTTGCTGGAAACGGGAGAATTGCAATGGGACTTAAGATGGCCGCCGCAGATTTAGCTGTCTATTTTCCCGTCTACGGTGAGTATTGAAACACACCCTGAATAGGAGAAGTAACGACAGTTGTCGTGACGTCACACCACGTTTTTATTTACGTGGGTGACCTCCGCCATCTCGGAAACGCATTTTGTGAGCAAGGAAAGAACTAGCATGCCTGCTGTTACGAGTGTGCTGGCGTCCCTTGCAGAGGCACTGTGTGCGTCTCTCAAGGACTCTGGGGGCTTTCGAAAAGACAGTCGACGCATCGTTCAGAGATGCTGCGCGCGTCCAACAGCACGGCTGTCTCATCCTCCATCATCATCTTGGCGCCTATATAAAGCCGGCACATCGAGCGTCGGGCGGCTTCCTCGTCCACGTAGTTTGAACGTTGTAAATGTTTCAAAGTGAAGCCATAGAGTAACATAGTATACACGGGACGGCTTTACGCTCTCCCATAGTAGAGTACCTAGTACTCTAAATCGTTACCCACTTTTTCTAAACATAGACATAAACGCTTTGTTTCCTTCTTGCTGCATTTTGCCTTGCCACTACCTCGATGCAATTGCAGCTGGTCATGGCGACTTTTAGTGCGTTTGTTTTGCTGGCGCTTGGTGTGGCACGTTGTGCGTCACAACCTTGTGTGCTCACATGACCAAGCCACCTATGCGTCGACGTCACTGCCCAATTCGGAACCGCGAAACCGAAACCCGAAATCGTCCGCTTAAGTAGAGTAATAATAAATAATTTATAGCGAAAATACACAAATCTTGGTGTACGTATCATGCTTCCTGGAGCTGAAGGAAACGCTTACAGCAAAGAGCACGCATGCCACAAATTTGGTGGCACCAGTCCTTTAAAGAGCACAAGTCAACCCAAAGGAAATCAGAAGTTGACCAAATTTTACGCGCTAGTGGCATTGCAGTCACCTAATTGAAACACTCACGTTGCCTTAAGGTTTCGTTCCTTTTTTTACAGTGAGATGTATTCAACTGATACATTTATGTCTATCCTTCATTTTCTTGCTGATTCGCCTTGTTTACTGCACTCACCACGTGAAGATATACTAATATTACAATGTGTATGTGCTGGACTGAGAAAGGGAATAGAAGTGTGAACTTTGGAGGATCTCTCTCTCTCGGCAACTTTGTCCCGTGCGGCCTCACCATTGAGCCTTCTATTAAACAAACCACCACACTAACATTTGGTCCACAAAGCCAGCACTATTTTTCAGGCCCTTCAGGTTTGCATAAAGTTGATCTGCCAGGTGTTTTTATGCAGCGATTAATTTTAAAGCAGCTGATACGTAACTTAGTCTTGTTGATAAAGTTTAGCCACACATGTTTCTAAGCCTTTGTTTGAAACTAGTGTCTGGGCAGAATTTGGCTTTATCAAAATGACTACCTCACAACTATATCAGCACAGCAGCTTCTCTCTTTTGGAACTTTCTTTAGGACTACGTGACCAGGCGACTTCGTCTGCCTATTCCTGAACGTATGTAGTGTTCACGCCTTTGTGTTTTGCGAACACATTATTCGTTTTACAGGACATACATGATACCAGGCAAGGCCATCACCGAAAGAGACATCCGCTTTCATATAAAATGTGGCCCTGCTTCAAAAGGTTTTGAACCCGGCTGAGGCGGCTTCATTTTCGATGGACTCAAAAACGCTCGCAGCTCGTGTACTTAGAGTTGGGTATGGGATAAAAAATCTCATGTGGTCGAAATTTCTGGAGCCTTCCACTATGGCGTCTCTGAAAATCGTATTGTGGTTTCGGGACGTAACCTCCACAAAATATTGAATTCAGATTTCGAAGAAATGTGACTTCAATAACAGCACGACAATTGGATAATTATTGCTATTGTGATAACAAGGCTGTTCAATACGAAATATATTATTTTAACAAGACAACTTGCTTTCTCTTTTGTGCATAGTGCCTTTAAAAGCAATACTGGACGCACTTATCAGCAGCCGATTATAATACTTGTCGCTTATAGACAGTACCATACCTTGAACAAGGCGTGAGTCGATCCTGAGCGAACGCATCCGTAGCGCACGGCTGACTGCTTCGCCAAGTCTTCGGCACTCTCGATGGGTGACTGGAGCCTCTCTTTAGTCAGGAAAGCTGCCAGGTTAGCCGTGTAAGAGGAAACCAGCACGAAGGAGAAGATCCACCAAGTTGCAGCAATGATGCGTGCTGAAGCTGCCCTGCACAATATAACGTGTTAAGTAAAATTATCTTGAACAAAGGACGGTGCCCAAGCAGGCCACAGGGTAAAACTTTGTCGACACAGTGCCATCCTATAGGGAGTGTGCTACCCTATATGTTTTGTATAAGGTATGTAAATGCATGATTTACGATTTCTAACGGAAATAGGTAATCATTCAAAACTGCACTGACAGATTATGTTATGCGCCCTAAATAAATCATTGTTAAATTGTTAAACATATAATCTCACTGACTTGTGTTTTATGTTCTACATTTACTGCATTTTCGTTGTATTACTCATCCCCTCTGTGATGCCTTTATGTGCCCTGAGGGTAATCGAAATAAATAACAAAGGAAGCTACGAAAAACGAGCCAAATATAAGTAATGCGAACATTGCAAACTATTTTTAAAGTTGCGTTAAAACATGTAAAAAATAGGCAACCAACAGTCGGTATATGCACAAAAAATTGTTGCTCTCTGAAGAACGGAAACAGTAAATAAGTACTTTTCTGTAGTTTTTGCTATAAAAAGTCACCAGGCCACAACAAAATACTGCGGAATATCATAATTGTAAAAGTATGTTCTCATTGTTTCGTTTTGAATATTTATGTTGAATTCACGCCACCGTTAAATACATTGTTGCTGTCTATCATTGGGTGCCCCGCCGTGGTGGTCTAGTGGCTAAGGTACTCGGCTGCTGACCCGCAGGTCGCGGGTTCGATTTCCGGCTGCGGCGGCTGCATTTTTGATGGAGGCGGAAATGATGTAGACCCGTGTGCTCAGATTTGGGCGCACGTTAAAGAACCCCAGTTGGTCGAAATTTCCGGAGCCCTTCACTACGGCGTTTCTCATAATCATATGGTGGTTTTGGAACGTTAAACCCCACAAATCAATCAATCATCTATCATTGGGCAGCGTCATCTCATCGATAGTACTTCGAACACGTGATATGGATTACTTCAACCGAGATGGCCAAAGTCTAAGGTGTGTCACAAGAATTACCAGTTCTTACAAGCGGAACTGGAGGACGTCTTTACGAGCGAAAACAATTCACAAAGGCTATTAGCCACATATCTCCTCAAACTGTCAGCCGAGTTTCAATCTCTGCGCAGCGTAACATTTCTTTTTTAGGCTTAAGGTGTAACATACAACTCCGTGATTTTTCATTCTGGAAAGCTATACGCACTTAAAAAAAATTGGTGTTATTTTAACTATTCAGCGTAATCCTATCTCACGCAACAGAATGAAGCAATCTCTTAAGCGCTAACTTTTGTCTTTTGAACCATCTCTTTCATTAGCATAAGGTCGAAAACCCGACATTTGCTTAGCTGAAGTTTTCTCTTTAATATGCAAAACATAAAAGGTAGAGAACGAGAAACGCAATGTCTAGTTTTAAATAAAGTCTACGCAATGAAACAATTGATGAAGGAAAGACAATTTTCAACTTACCTAGGAAATATACCACATTCCTGCCTCATGATGGCGCTTACTATAAACCAAAAACTGTTAGGAAGAGTGAAGTCACTTTGCACCGTTGGAAGAGTACTATTTCTCCGGCTGTCAGAATAAAACGTCTCTTGTTGTAGGTCGGAGGAACCGACTGCTTCCTGACCCTTGATGATGTCGAGCCTGGCACGGCCACTGTCCCTTTCATTGTACCAATCAACATCACTGCGCGATAAACTGTTTCCGCAGCAGCAGCATCCATAACGTCGCGATACGGCACTATTTCTGCGGCACACTGCGCTCTGAGAACGAGCGACGCAGCACAGAATTACACTGACTGCGACGCACGCCCCGGCGACACAAAGCCACACATCCCCCGAAAGCGGAGACAGGAAGAATAGGAGGAAACGCTTTTGGTCGACCTTCTTGTAGAGTATGCTGACCCCCAACGTCATGAAAGGTATAGTGAAGTCGACAGATTGCTCGCGCTCTGAGGTGATGGTCAGGTCACCAATGGCCAGGTCTGCCTCCTGCAGCGAAGACGTAGAAATCGTCGAACAGTTGAGCCATTTAAAATAAAGATATTTGCTAGAGATGAGGTGGGTTATAAGTACGCTTGTATACTGAAAAATGTATCACGCTACAATCGTCTTCAAGAAATTTTCAGATAATTTCGGTGGTTGACACATTCAAATAAAAGCTGTAAAGTCAATGGTTCGGAATATTTGCAAATGAAAAGTAGCCAGTATTTGCCCTCAGATAATTCTGGTTGAAATGTCTCAATACCTTTACTAACCTTAGCTAAACAGTCTAAATCAAGCCACCTGAGGCTTACAAACCTCACTTTTAATCAACGAGATGGTGTCATTTCTCTTATTACCCACTTGTCCTCGGTGATACCGTCCCTAATCATAGGATTAAATAGAACGAAGCTTTAGAACACGGAGTTCTGTTCACAATGAAAAGAACATGACAGCACGCGTCTAAATTTATTGGTACGAAACGAAAATGGTTAGGACTTTGGTGTCTATACCTTAAAATGATCACTTAAGTCCTAATATTATTATCAACTATTAAGCACTGTGGCTGCTTGAACCTTAGCCTGAGTTAGACAAATGGGTGCGTTCTTCTTTCATTAGGCTGGCCTGTAAATGCGCTGAACAAAGAGCGAGGGCGAATACGTATGATGCATGGCACATTAGCCATTCTGAGCTTTTACGAATATGACACAAGCGGGGGAAAGCTGCCTATGTATGTGAACCAAGTCTACGGTATGGTGATGTTTTTTTTTATAGAGAAGCACGGTAGCCTAACCTGGTTGCTAGTCTTTTAAATGTTATTGTTGGTATTAAGAGCGGCAGAAGCTATACGATAGTTTTATGTTTAAAATACCATTTATTCTGAAGACAACAAAGCTTTTAAAGCACAAGATAGTGCATAACGGCTGTCTGTTGAGAACCGGAACGCAACCAAACTTTTTGAAGTACTACGTGGGCTGCTTAAGAAGCACGCGAAGTGTTATAATCGCAATCTGCACAAGCCAGTACGACAGTTGTCCTAAAAGCTGTCTACCATTACACTCATTTGTTGGCGTACGCAGTGAATTTCCTGAGTCAAAACTTACCATATCCACAAGTTCGCGCATTATGCCGTTCCACCTGCCCTGTGAGTCCCGGGTTCCGTAGGCACCATCTCTGACGAGCTTGAGCCGGTAGCGGAAGCCCAGCGTTGCAGATATTTCATAGAGCAAATCCACGCAGTAACCCTCGAAGCGGTCGTTTCCCTCGAGCTTGTGCGCGGATTTCTTGAGCATGACGTACGGGGAATTCTGCAGTAATGATCGTGTAAGGCATACGCGGGAGCTTCACTTTGAAGTGTTGGCGATATTGCCTGCATGTTTTCTGCTTCAAGAGGCTTTGAGCTTGTGTCTATGCATTTTTACGTTATCATGCCACGGGAATACAGGAACGCATGTTTTTGCAAAGTTTTAGCTCCCAATGCGTAAACTTTTATGCACGTACGTAAACGTATACCTTCTCGTTTGTGCAAACCACTAAGTGGTGATGAAAACTGCATCGCCTCACCTTGTCGCAGCTGCAGATTTTGTAATGTACCCCGGCTCAAGGACGCATCCTCACTGTTAGGTCGAGCAGTACCATTGACGGGGACGCAGTGGTTGACCCTGATCATCGCTGCATTCTCCGAGGAATCGCCATCGCCTGTTTTTTAGTGCAGTTTTCGCATGGTCATGCCAGTTTTACCGCCTACAACACGATGACAGAGCCGCAACTACTGCGAGAGGGGTCCCCTGTTTCCAGCCTTATTGACATAGCACTGGTATATGTCATCACTGTATCGTCTCCGTCGTCAGTCGCCAAGTGTACGCCACCTGGAGGCTCATGTAATGCGCTTGAAGCTACTTTTAGTCCATATCTCCCTTCAACGAAAACTAATGACTCATTGGCTCTTTTCACAAAACACCAGACTTCTTTTGACTTTTGTTCGGATTGCTGGGATCAAACTACGGCGGCTTCTCATCGCATCGCCAGACAGGTCTCGTATCATTCGCCGTCGCCCCTACCGTGGGTTGCATTCAGAACGCAAGGTTATCGAGGAGCCCCTCCGCGGTGGTCTAGTGGCTAAGGTACTCGGCTGCTGACCCGCCGGTCACGGGATCAAATCCCAGCTGCGGCGGCTGCATTTCGGATTGAGGCGGAAAGGTTGTAGGCCCGTGTGCTCAGATTTGGGTGCACGTTAAAGAATCCCAGGTGGTCGAAATTTGCGGAGCCCTCCACTACGGCGTCTCTTATAATCATTTGGTGGTTTTGGGACGTTAAACCCTAAGTATCAATCAAGGTTATCGAGGAGCAAGTAAATGACTTGCTCGCACGCAACTTTATCAGGCTTTCAGCAAGCCCTTGGTCTTCTGTTGTCCTATTTAAGAAAAAGAACGGATCAGTGCGAGTTTGCGTTGATTACAGGGCACTAAAGAAAATCACCCGGAATAATGTATGTCCCAAGCCTCGGATTGACGATGCCCTAAACACCTTACAGGGTGCAGAATACTTATCAAGCCTCGACCTATGATCTGACTATTGGTAGATCCTGATGCATGACTCTGATAAAAGGAAGACGGCGTTTGCTATAATCCTGCTGCCCTCTTTGAATTTAATGTGATGCCTTTTGGGCTTTGCATTGCCCCAGCCACATTTGAGCGAATGATCGACATGGTGCTTCGGGGCCTAAAATAGAAGACCTGTCTTTGTTACCTGGACCACATCGTCATCTTTTCATTGATTTTCTCGCAACACTTAGAACATCTATACGAGGTTCTCACATGTCTAGCTAAAGGCAGGCTCCAGCTATATACCATGAAGTTTGCGAGCCGCAGCATCAAATTGTTAGGTCACGTTGTCAGCAAGCTTGACATCGAACAAGATCCCAACAAGGGGGCCGCTGTGTTGCACTTTCCTAAACCCTCCACGCAGATGACCAGTCTTAGTCCTATCGATTTCACTGCACCGTATGACCTCCTTCAGTTCGCAGACCCCACTTCACTCCAACGTGCAGACACATACTGCCGTACAATCATCGATCGGCTCACCGGCTTTCCCACTGCTCTCAACAGCCGCTTATGACGACAACTCGCGTGTTTCAAACTTCATGACGGTGCACTACTTCGGTTAATTTACCATCCCCTCGGTAGCCGATGGGTCCGTGTCATACGTCGCTCACTTCGACTCCAAGTTTTAGAAGCGTGTCATGACGACGCGACGGCTGGCCACTTGGGTTTTCATAAAACCTATGGTCACATTAAGACTTCCTGCATCTGGCCTGGCCTCGCCACTAATGTTGCCAAGTACGCCACTACTTGTTCGCCATGTCAGCATCGAAAACGTTCAAAATCTCCTCCCGCTGGCCCTCTACAACCTCTCCAATGCCCATCCGCTCCCTTTGAGTTCATCGGTATAGACTCATACGGACCCCTTACGCTTACCCCCACCGGTCACCGTTGGATTGTTACTGCCGTATACCATCTTACTCGCTATGCAGAGACGGCAGCTCTTTCTTCTGGCGCTGCCTCCGTACTGGCGGACGTTGTTTCGCGTGCTATTATCTTGCTCCACGACGCTCTCGTGTTCTTCTGAGGCAGGATATTTCTTTCTAATGTGCTCTTTGAAGTCATACAGGCCTCTGACATCACCCATAAGACCACCTTCGCATATTATCCGCAAACAATGGTCTCACTGAGCGTTCTCATAGAACTTTGTCAGACGTGACCTCTATGTATATCCAACCCGACCACAGGAACTAGAACACAATAATACCTTTCGTCACATTCGCCTACAACACTGCCATTCAACGCACTACAATTTACAGTCCGTTTTTCCTTGTACTTCCTCGATGACTGTCCACCATCTTTTGTTCTAGACAGCAGCGTCTTGGCCACGCCCTCCGTTTCATCTGCATTCCTTCCGGAAGAGTTCGCTGCCCATGTCAACAACTGCCACACCACCGCCCGAGCAAACACCTAGTATTCAGGCCCAGCGAAAAGTTCATTGTGATGGGACACGTCAAGTTGACGCGTCAAGTTGACGTCAAGTTGACACGTCAAGTTGACACGTCAAGTTGCGTCCTTCTACCCAGGCGACGAAATGCTCCTCAGAACGAGTGTTAGCACACCCGGCCTCTGTGAAAAATTCATTTACAGATACTTGGGTCCCTACACCGTGCTTGAACGAACATAGGTCATGAATTATCGCGTCAATCTGGTTACTTCGGCTTCTGATCACCGTCGTCACGGGACCGAGATTGTTCTTGTGTCTTGCCTGAAGCCTTATATCCGATGCTCGTACCCTTACTAAATGGGCGTCTTGCTGACCGCTTTCGTGTAGGGGGGAAAAAGTGTGAGTGCTGACTGTGTAGTTCATCAACTGCGCATACAAAACATCGTGATCATCATCGTCGTAGTCTCTCGCCGCGTGTTTGATCGCTGGCTCATTCAACTGTGTTGAAAATACAACGGTCGCTCCTTCGTATACCTGACGCCGTCTCACATTATATTTAATTTACTTAAAATTGAATCATAACTGAGGCAGAATAATGTAACTGGTGCGACAAGTTGCTTATGAAACTGAACTTAACAAAATGCGAGGTAATGTCTTTCAACCGTAAACACGTAAACTCTGAATTCTCCTATTACTTGAACAATACCATGCTTTCCCACACTTCTTCCTACAAATACCGAGGTGTTCTTCTCACAGAGAATCTTCCATGGGCCTCACATATCGAGTCTACCTGTGCTAAAGCATCACGTTCACTGGGCTACCTACGCCGCAACTTGAGAAATTCCCCTACTAATATTCAAAACTAGCCTTTCTTACCTTTATTCTGCCAATATTAGAATTCGCCTCAGCAATTTGGTCTCCTCATCAAAACTACTTGATTATTATGGTAGAAAGGATTCAAAATAGAGGTGCGCGCTTCATATCACGAAATTACGACATCAGGTCAAACATAACGCAAATTAAATCAGACCTTCAGCTGCCGTCATTGGAGAGCCGTCGCAATATTGCTCTTCTCTGTCTGTTCCAGAAATATATTACGTCTAGTAAACGAACGCGGCTTCAGCTTCAAACACCTCACTCTTTTTCACGCAGATTGCATAATCAGTTCAGCTTCATGCGCATATACAGGTCAACTAATGCATTCAATTCATCACCACTGCCTCGGGCCGTTCGTCTTTGGAATGACCTCCCTGATTGCATAGCCTCATATCTAATTCCGATACATTTCGCCGTCAGCTACTCACTCTGTTCACCATGTGACTCTGTTTTTGTATTCTGAGTGCATTGCGTAACGGTGATTTATATTCCCCTTGTCTTTTATTTTAAAATGTATCCCTCTGTCACCATGTTCATATCAACAAGCGCTGTATTCCCTCAAATTTACCTCGCCCCTGTATAGCCTAAAATATGATCTCATTTATATATATATATAGTTTTTCGTTGTTCTTGCACTGATCCTGCCTGTAAACTGTTCGTTACCTGTCTGTACCATTCCGATTCCTCCCCCCTTACCCAATGCCCTGTTCTGGGGCCTGTAAGGTTTTTTTTTGAATAAAGAATAAAGAATAAAGATGTTTTTACTGTTTAGCGTATTCTGTTGTATAAAAACACTGGATTACCGGACGATGGTATTAACATCACGTGATGACATGAACACGTTTGTTAGCACCTAGTATTTATTTATTTTATTTATTTATTTATTTATTGTATACCTGCATCGCCCAATTGGATATTACAGCAGGAAGGTTACATCCAAAAATATACAAAGTAAACACACTCCCAAAGCGTTCTGAAACACATCGTTGTCCAAAATGTTATGAAGGAAATATTAGTAAAAAAAACTCCTACGTCATTGTGCCACTACAAAGCATTTAATCAAGAAATGGTATGCATGACATTTATGAAAGAACAATTTCGTGCTCTCCTGGTTTTGCTTGACCACCTTAGATGGCGGCACCTATCCAGCATATCGGGGGGCTTTAGGTCTCTTACGTTTATGTTTGCGGCATTCCAGGTCCTCCAGATTCAGTAAGGTGGGTGAAGCAAGCTAATAACAATTCGCACTCGAATTTGCGGCTTGAGTCTTCGCAAGATGGAAACCGGGCTTGGACTCGCTCGTTAGATTCCGTGCCAACCAGTTGTGCCCCCTCGATCTCCGATGACAGCGCAGCTATGGCCGACCGGCCTGTCCTCCGCCAACTCCTGACGCCGTGAAGCTCTCGCTGAATGGTGCCCTGTCCTTGGACTCCTGCGACCGTGTCCATGTTTCCTATCTTCTTTCTTCTGTATGTGGGTCTCTCTGTCCCTGCCCCTATCTCTATCCATATTAATTTTATATACTCCTTACCGCCATCCTTCGTGAGTCACTCTTGAGGTGTCGCACTACGATGCAGACAGTTACGGGGCTTACTTTTATCTTCTTTTCTCTCTCTTAAGAATCACTTACAAACCATGCTTAGCGACGAACGAAGGTGACTTAGCGAGATAGGGCCAGAAATGTAAAATCTTTCGGGAGAGTAGTATACGGTCCATAAAAGTTTCACGTCTTGTAGAGGCTCGTGCATGCGCATTTTAGTTCTGGTGTCTGATAACGCGGTAACCTAAAGAAGTATACATACAAGCGAAAAGCCCTTTATAACTCTACTCAAACTACGTTTTTTTTGATAACACGCAGTTACCATTGTGGAAAAATAACATTAGCCGTATTTAGCGTGTACGGTGTCCCAGGCTACGCATAGGAACATCGGAAGATCGTGTTACCAACCGGTAATGCCAAAATCTAGCGACACTTGAGGAACCATACACATGAACACGTTTTTTTTTTCTCTTGAATACGAAGGACACTCATTCTTAACTACGCTGCTGCAACGCATTTCTACAAGAACAATTTGGTGCTTGCCTCGTTCTTGCCTTCCTCGCTATAGATGGCACCACCAATCCGTCCTTTAAGGGCTTTGCGCCACTCACGTTTACGGCTTCCAGTTTCTAGATCACACAAATTAATAATGATTGTTGGAGTTTTAACGTTAATAATTATGATTAACGCCGTAGTGGAGGGATGCGGTAATTTCGACGTCATGGTGTGTTTTAACGTGCACGTAAATCTAACCACATCCACTTCAAGCATTTTCACCTCCATCGATAATGCGACCGCCGCTGCCGGGATTCGATATTGTGGCCTACGGGTCAGCAGTCGATTGCCTTAGCCATTGGACAAGCGAGGAAGTAGCCGTGAACGAAGACGAATTCTAAATCTATGTATGGTAGTGGACGTGAAAAATACCTGGTGATTAGTTTACCTTCCGTGAAAGCGAGTATAAGTTTCATAAACACATGCGCTAGCGCTCATTCAAGACGGTATTCGATACCATATTAACGTCAGAAAACATACGTATACGCTAAGAGCCCCTATTACTGTGTAGCATGTATTACTGTGTAGATAATTTTGTGTTGAAATGATCTACCACGTAGCCTTTAATGATCATGCAGAGTTATGCACAAGAATGAGCACAACTACGCATGTATTTACACTTGTGCACATTCAGCTGGCACATACTAAACACGTTTAAACTAGCTACTAGGTTTCCGTTGATCGCGATGTTTGCTCGGAGCTGCCGTGAAAGCAAACAAAATTGGTAAATATGCGAAACCGCATGTATTTTTTTGCATTACCTCAAGTGAATGGCTCATTTGAACACTATTTTTATATTGGTATGCTTTGCGGGTCTAAAGTGATTATTTAACGTGTTATCTTGTAGCCCATCTTTTTCCTCCGATTTTTCTTTCCGCTTTTTTCCTCCTCTCTATATGCACCTTCAAAAAATGGAGGGCAGCAAACCAGATGTTTAATTTGGAATGATCTTACCATCTTTCCCCTTACTTATCTCTTCCTCTCTCTAGCAGCCTAATAACAATTTTCATGTAATTTATTTTGCCTGCTTCTGACATTATCTAACATGCAGATACACGTTTTGCCAAATTGGTTGAAATCTCTCATTTTGTACTCTTGTTTTGGGTACACAGTCTTTTACACTCCACAGTCTTTCACATTTGCATCTGTCGGACAATTTAACCTTTGACATTCAAAAAAGCAAAACTATATATATATATATATATATATATATATATAGATCTATATATATATTTATCCTACTATCTATATTTATATATATATTATATCTATATATATATATATTATATATATATATATATATATTACTATGATCGCACGAAATGCAGCTTTACCAGTCCGACCACCTACTGAACAGATAACTAAGCCAGGCGCCGCAACTTCCACCAGGTTGTAATAATGAACAACGGGCTCACCAATATCGTCGTTATTCTCAGAGTCTTGTTCTTCAATACGCTGAGTATTTCATCCTCAAACATCTTTTCTGCTCGAGTAATGTTTAGCCCCGATGACAAACTCCACGTTCCAACCTGAGAATAAACACGGAAACATGAAAATTACGAAGATTAGGCAAGAAATGCCATCGCAAAAATACAATTTTTTGCAATCTTCCTAGTGCGGCATTTTAAGTTAAAGTTAGTTTGTACGCACGATTTGAAAACAAAGAAAAAGTTACTTCGAGCACCCCTAACTTTCACCTTCTGAAGTAGGATGAGATGGCGCATTCTGTCCTTCAGTTCGTCATGCTTCACCATGCCATAGGCAATGGTTGTCTATGCACGTGGCATTGGCTTTTTCGAACTATTACAGCGTGCCTACTGCAACAGAAGTTGCGATGTGCCCACTACGTCCTACTTATTCGATTCAAAAATTGGCGAAGTACCCGCCCGCAAGGCGCCGTGCGCATCTGCGCAGCAACCCACTTTGCAATGAGCGGGCTGCTTTAAACAGCTGACTCATTGCGAAATTCGCACGTTTTGACGCCTGGTGCAATGGTAAGATTCGGCAACGTAATGATTCTTTCATCTAGATGACTTCTTGGTAGATAACATTATAATAACGTTCTTCTTAAGCAGTCTGAAAGGCGGCAGTGGCTCTCTGAAAGAACACCGACTAGCCGCAGAAAGTGGAAGTTCGATTCTCACTTGGACCAAAGTTTTCAAAATATTTTTATTCGCATGTATGTCGAATTTCATCTCTCGACCACTTTCACTATCTACCTAGTATTTAACTGCCAACACCGATGCCGAAATTTCAGCTAAGCCAGCCGTATAATTCCCATCATTATCAACACCACCATCATCATCATCATCTTCATCATCATCATCATCAGCCTGACTATGTCAACTGCAAGACAAAGGCCTCTCCCGTGTTCCGTCAGTTAACCCAGTCGTGTGCTTTCTGCTGCCACTTTATACCCGCAAACTTCTTAATCTCATCTGCCCACCTAACCTTCTCTCTCCCCCTAATGTTATGGCATTATAATTTCTTCACAGCAGAAAAAAATTCGGCGAGCTATAAAAGCATCAGATATTAACAAAGGAACACGAGGATGCTGTGCTACAGTTGCACATTAAGATATATTACTTAACTGAGCAAACGAGATTCGTTGTCCATGAAATTCACACACCACGGGAAAATCACATTGTTCTATGTATCGCATGACAACGCCATGTTATACTTACATCATGGCAACGCATTATTCGGTAATTCACCATTCACGCTGAAGGTTTACGTAACAGGGTTCATAATGAGGAACGGTAAACAAGTTACATAAATTCAACCAAAGCAGCAGCAGGCAAATCTGCTAATAACAGCTAAATAAAGTGCTCTCCAGTGTAATAATAAAAGTTGTGACGTAGGTAGTTCAGTCTTTGTTGTCATATGTTACATGTATCTGACACCCTGTCCTACGATCAACCACAGTTGCGTCTGAGTGGCTTCAGCATGCCTGGTAGGTGACAAGTGAACAGGTGTTTACTGATGTAAGCTGGTGTTGAACCTGTTAAATGGCTTACAATTTAAGTCCTCGAGAGACGCGTATAAAATTGTTACGCTACAAAACATAGGTGAACCCATCTAATAGCAGGCACGATTGCATGTAATTTTAACTATCCGCGACGTCCCTCCCATTATGAAATTAAGTGCACGTAATGTCCACCACTATGGTAAAAAAAACATAGTTTCAAGGTAATATTGTATGTGAACAAGTGAACTGATTGTCACTTGTAAACCACGTCAATGATAAAAACCAAGCATTCCATGTTGAATTCCAATGACACAGCTAGATCAAGATTTTCTGCTCTAAGCGGAGCAATCACATTCCATTGGCGAATCAGAAGCGTGCGTTGTGTGTTCAAATGGCAGACTGAGAGCAACCACAGATCATAGATTGCTGTTTGGAGCAAGAATTCTTGCTCCGCCAAAACCGGTGAATTTGACGGGAAGTTCACGTGATTTACTCTGTGCGCCTGTCTTTCATTCAATCAACAATAAATGTCCGGAAAAGGCTTCGCGCTCACTCACGCCCTGGCATGCTCATTTGCTTGACTTCCGCTCACAAACTGCTTCAATCGAGATGCGTGTGTTCCAATCGCACATTTGTGAGATACTCGGCGTGGATCTGCGCGCTCTGTTTGCTGTCTGGGCCAGTGCTCGTGTCTGCTAACGGAAGTCGACATCACTTACCGAAGTGAGTCCCGTACGCTTGAGTTTAGCCACGTACAGTGACACGTTTCTCCGCTGGCCCGAAGAATCCAGCCATAGTGGTCCACTCAAGCCCGAAAAACGTATCTGCCAAAAACATGATTTAGTGAAATGAAATTTCAAACAACTATCAACCAGTTCCTCACAGTGAAAAAGAGCCACCGGGTAATGTATGAAAGGAGAGGCAAGGAAGTCGCAACCTTGCCCCCTTTGGATACCAATGACGACCATCAATAAAGTTATATTCGCCTTTTCGAAAATGGTTAACGTTTATCTGAGCTTAGACACTTTGAATACAAAACAATAATCAAGGTTGTGCTTTGCTTGGGCTGACAACAGCTTGCCATCGTTTACCAAAACGTATCACACTTAAAATGTCCTTCAGCGAACATTTTCACAAATAACACTTTCACGCGTGTCACTTTTCGAGGCTGGCCGGCTAGTGGTAAAACGCACTTAGCCAAGACCGCTTTTTTATTAAAGTCAAAGCTTAAATAATGAGAATGGGCTTCTTTTTTTCAGTAAGTATTGCGATATTTCAAAAGCAAAACAAGGAGGAATGTTTCTCATTGAGTGCCTCTCTTTCTTTGTGCTTCGCCGATAAATAAATTTTCGAGACCTTTTTTCATAAACAATGCTTTAGGCAAGAGTACCAACAAAGCTTCTGCTCATCTGTTTGGAGTTGAAAAACGCCTTTCTTGGACAAGATGACTTGCGTACTTGAACGTCATCATCATCGCGAAAACCCAGCCACTCCATAGACTTCTTCGTGATTTTTTTATATGGGATAACGTAAACTGATCATTTCACCTAATTTTCTTCACATCTGCATAAAATATTCGTGTCCCTGAAAAAATCGTCCATATTCTACTAAATGTAAATAAAAAACGGCCCTTCTGCGAATAGTAAGTATGAGCATGTATTATGGATCTACTTAGAACAAACGCGAAAAGCACCATGTGTTGTTGCCGAAATAACAGCAAGCCTTTGTTCGAGAAAGCAATCTTCCCAACTTCCGCACACATACATAGCGCCGGTAATTGGCTGTGCTTGTTCGCGACTTGTGTACAGCTACGAACTCCTCATTAGTCAGTTTCTGCTAAATATAATTCTATCACCTGTGGCTCTGTTTATCCAGCGTTTTAAACGCTTTTACAGTGGAGAATCTGGTAAGGTGCCTTATCAAAACCAAGCTTTGATGAGGCATTATCTAGTAGAGCCCTCCAGGCAGCCACTTCTCTGGTGCCTATTTCTTAGACTAAGTATACTGAACCATGTGTATACTCAGTGTCCTTATCGTTAAAAGCTTGCCTTGCGCGCTTACAGCCGCATATACTTTTCCTGTTCCTTATTACTGGGAGCGGAAGATAACTTTACAAACGTTGGTCTCTGCTCCCGTTATTTGTCGTTCTAGTATATATACTTCCGCTCCTATATTGCAGCTGCTAGCTGTTTTTGTAGATAAACTTAATTACTATCTAGTGGCCTGTAAAGTAAAACACTGTGACGACACTTTTATTTCTCTGACAGAGAAAAGCTCCGATGTAAGATACAAAAAAAGGCAGATCCCGCGTGAAGAGGGAATCGCTCATATGAGAAGTACGAACGACAACTGTTGATATGTCCCTTCAAAATCAGCACAACGTTAAGAGGTGGAGGTACACGATACTGTACATGACTTCCGCGCCTTGATTATTATGTTTGTATGTGTCGTTCTCCTTCGTCATCAATTCATGTCACTTGCTACCAAATTTAGTAGATCTGGAGCTAGCGAAAAGACCGCGAGCACACTATGAGGGTGGTATGTTGTCCTGTTCTTGCATGACACGCATGTCAGGATTATCATGTTTGCCCCAGTAATATATTTCGTCATCCATTGACGTCACGTAACCCCACATTTGCTATACGTGAAGATAGCAACACAGCCATGAGCGCATCATGAAGGGCCCAATATACTCCAATGTAGCGTTGACGCGCGCGCACGCTGGGCACAACGACGCTACGTTAGCCAAATGCGAGCACTATATAGTCTGACGCCAGGCGCGACCAGCATCCGTTGGCGCGGCCGGCAGCAACCAGCGCGAAATGCGACATCCTCCATTTCGCGCCGATGCCTTACCCAGACGACACTGCGTCTCCCTCTTTTTCGTGATGGAGGGATGCTGGACGCGCTGAAACGTGCATGCGTCAAAGCAACGCAGCGCGGCGCGCTCCTCCGAGTATATGGCAGGAGCGGCGCCTGGCGTGGCAACACCGGCGTGACGCAACGAAATGAACGCCGGCAAGCACGCACACCGCGTCAGGTCGAAATTTATTGGCGCCTTGATTGTGGAACCTAGTCATGTTCTCACATGACACGCATCTCATTTTTATCATGTTTGCACTATTATCATACCTTCGTCATCCGTTCACGTCACGTTATACCGCGTTTGGTATTAGTGAAGCTAGCGCAATGGCCGCCAGCGCATAGTGAGCGTGGCATGCAGTCATGATGTTGCATGACACGCATCTCATAATTATCATGTTTGCACCAGTCACATACCTTTGTCATCCATTCACGTCCCGTAATACCAAATTTGCTATAAGTGAAGCTAGCGAAACGGCCGCCAGCATATCATAAGCGTGGCATGTAGTCATGTTGTTGCATGACACACATCTCATGATTATCATGTTTGCACCGGTTGCATACTTTCGTCATCCATTCACGTACTGTAATACAAATTTGGTATGTGACACTACCGAAACCGCCGCGAGCGCATCATGAGCGTGACATGTACTCATGTTGTTACATGACACGCATGTCATGACTTTATTGTTACGGTACGTCGCTTGTGTTCGCCATGCAATCATGTCATGCCATACCAGTTTTGCAATATGCCTTGTGAACGAAACCACCGCAAGAGATGCAGGACCATGAAATATAAATTATGACATTCATGAAATACATATCATCATTTTCATGTCATGACCAGTCAAATGAGTTCTTGATAGAGTCGTGTTATACCATACCAAGTTTAGTACCGATACCAATATTGAAACGGCAAAGAGACCTAAAGGTCGTAGGCGGCTAGATAGACAGATACGCTCAAAGTCGCCGAAGTTCGCTAAGAAGTGCTTCGCATTTAAAATTACCATTGACTCATGAACAGAAATGAGATTGAAGACTGCCTGCTTTCGTTATTTCGTGACGACTGCATGTTACCAGGCGAAAACAAGAAAAATGTTTGCTTTTCTTAGCAAACAGTACTTGGAGAAAGTAATGGAGAACGAGGCTTGCCGTACGTAATCTTGTTACATGCAATGATTGAAGGTACCGCTGCCGTAAGTAATCTTGCTACATGCAATGATTGAAGGTACCCTAAAAAGTGTGGGTGACGAGAAAGCGACTTAGCGAGGTTTAAAGCGCAAAGGTGTGTAAGGTGGTACTACTCATAGTGTAGAACACCGCGAATGACAAGGTACCATCCCTAGTCTTCCTCGCGGTGTTAGGTGACCGAACGGTTTCAGTTGCAGCGACAGCACAGAATGTCATGGGAGCACTCAGAAGTACACCTTGCTATCAAATTGGCAGGTGAAGTCTCGCGAGGGATCATCAAGGTCAATGTATACGAATGAGCACTACACACTTTGTTGATTTACGCTCAGGATGTTAGCGTTGTATATCTCGCGTACGGTCTGCGCGATATCCTGTAATACTTCCTAACAAGGTTCGCTACCAAATATATTCTATCAGTTTTACTACTCATACTTAAGTAAACCCCTCATTGTGAAGATGTATACTTTGCTATCAGAATCACTAAATCTTAGTTATCTTCTGTTCTTTTTTGAAACCGTGAAATTAAAGATCTTTGTCTACCTTTCAAACAATGTTCGGTGCCAGACATTTCCTATTAGTTTGACTAATAGCCCCTCATTTGTGAAGAAATAGACCATGTTACCAAAATAACTAAATTTTAGTAATCTTTAGTTTCTCGAACAACGAAATTAAACATCTCTAACTTTCATTTGTTGTTTCTCTCTCATACGTCAATAGCGCTCTAATGTGACGGAACTTCGAACATGCCCACAGCCGGCAAATTTACCACTGTGGACAAGAAAATTACACATTAAGGACACCTCCTTCAGAGCTCTAGCTATTACGTCTATTTGACATATTTGATTTACGAGAATTGGTGCTTCTTGCGTGATATACGCAAAATTATGGCCGTGGTCTCAAGGGCTTATTCGTTCAACAGCATCAAACCATATGATGGAGCATGGGCGAATTGTTTGCTGCTATTAGCACCTAAATATGGAACAGATGTTTTTCAACAAACACGCAGTGCATTTTCAAAGAAGCCATGGTTAGGCTTACGAGTAAGATCACTATGTTAAAATTTAGTTTGTGTGACCGTACATGTCATATGGCCGATATGGTGGTGTTACTATATATGGTACGAAGTAAGCAAAATTGCCATTAGAACTGGACGAATTCATTATGTGATTTCTTCTGAAAATAAAAAAAATGCATGGTGTCCGTCACACAGCATGGCTTTGAGTCAAAGCCCGAGACAATGTTTTATTCTGCAATGAATACACACAATTCTTTACGAATATGAGCAATCTCGCTGCTGTATTGTACGCAGGTTTCTATGAAGAACCTTTGGTCTGCGCATTCCACTTGTGTTAGCTCTATATTGCAACAATGACATGGCACATTTCAATGCCACCTTGGCAAGATTGAAAACTCTACGGCAGTTAATGAGAAGGTTTGATGACGCAACTTCACGACGCGTTGTTACGTTCAAAATCACTATTAGACGTCATATTCAAAAGAAACCTCTTTTTGTGCGTGTTGCACCTACGGTAACCATCGTATTAAATTGATGCTTGGAATTCTTCAGGACCCGAATAATTATAAACATTCATATAACAAGTGTCGCAACTGGTTGTATGGAAGTAAATTTAAGATATTGGGCTTACCTTTCTCACTGCCTCTTTAAGCAGGTTTGGCTGAGTCAGGTTCCTTTCCGCAGAGCTTGTACGGCAGCTGATTCGTGGTGGTGTCTCCAATTTACGTGTCTTGGCTAGGCTCTGGATGGCTCGCACCAAAACGATCAGAGCATCTTGAGTGAGAGCCGCGTCTGTCTGGACGGAAACACCAAAACTTTTTTGCGATTGTTCACTTGCAACGCTGTGAGTAATGCTGATTCAAAGTGCTCATTTCGAAGTTTCTCACATTCTTGACTTGGTCAACCATATTTCAAAATTTATAGGAAATTTATTATTGTAAATTTTCATATAGAGATAGTTTGATAATAAAATTAATATTAAAACGTGTTGTAGTTGTCTATTACCAGTTTGCTCGGTGGAAGGAATGAAGGAATTCGCAGCACATCAACAACAATATAGGAAGCCGGATATTTATTCTTGATAATGACCGATTTCTGAGTGAGGAGAGCATTATAAAGAGTGATCCAATAGTGACTAAGACCGACACGCATGACGTTTCGTATGCTCAATACTTTGCAAGTTGCAATGTTCCTGATCCTCTTTGCAATATGTGAAGTAGCATACCAGTTGCTCTAAACTGTTTGATCTCCTAGTTGCCTTTCATTCTAGTTACTTGGTTCATCTTCACTGAGCAGAGGGGTAAAGACATCCAATTGACATGGTGACGCACATGAGCCCGTAGGGACATTTGCCGAAACAAGATAGGACGTGATAGCCGCTTGGCTGCAAGCAGATTGCCTGAAATTTATTAGAGTCATTTTAAAAAGCAGTGGCCGATGGTCTGTACATCAACACATTAGAATACTCGCCTAGTCCTTCGTCCTGCAGTGTTTCTCTACCCAGCTGTTCTCGTTCCGCCGTTTTGATGCTTTGTCACCCGTCGCAGTTTCAAGCAACTCAGGCAGTTTTGTATGTTACACCACACAACCTAGTGTATATTTTGCAAAATAATTGTATTTTTTGGGGTCCGTTGGTCGGAGCATCTTGCATAGGAGGGGCACACGTCGGTTTGGGAAGAAAGTACGCAAGATACAGGCTCACATGCAAGTTGGGCGTCTTTTCAACATCTTGTGAACGTTTTTCCGAACCATTCTGCACTACCGTACACAAGATGATATTTTAACGCGACAGCATTAGAGAGATCGTTTCGCAGAAATGCTGGGGTTGGCGTCTTTGGTAGTGAGCGAAAAATCATCAACTTATCCCTTACTCAAAAATTGAGATTGATACAAATCAAGTAAGTAAATGCCATAAAATCTTGAAGAAAAGTAAGGAACGCACCAGGGTTGTTTGGGCTTGAGTGGCGACCGAACCTGGGTCGTTTCGTGGCAGGCGGATGTTCTACCACATGACCACCCCTCTGCTTGTGAAAACAGCGACAAGAACTTCGTCTGCTTGCAAATTCGGTGAAAGTAGCTTTCATGCTTCCCAAACACACGCGTCCTGTATACATTCATCGAGATGTAAGACGCAATATTGCAGTATTATTGCGTGGTACAAGCGTCCATTGCCAAAGGGCGTCAGAATATGTGATTATCATAACAGCTCCATGGTTGAAAGCCAGTACCCCCCTACAAAAGGCCCACATGGCACTGCACCTATTCCTTTAAGGTCACGTATAGTGGAGGCATGGCTAATTCGAAAAGGTTTCATGCACTAAATATCTGCAATACGCGCTAAGAACAAGCTGTCGCTATGGCATTCAACTTGTGAAGGCTAAGCTTTAAGCTCCCCAAATTTTTTGTTAGTCTTAACTATGTAATCAGGAAAAAACAATTATCCTCTTTGTTTCTCGAGGTATATATTTATTTTATTTTATTTTGTTTTATTATTTTATTTTCACCAAAACAGGTACAACGGCAAAAATAGCGAATGCGAAATAGCAATGGCGAAAGGTAGTTGAACTAAGATATTGGATATGAAAGAGAGAGAGAGATAAAGATGCAAGGAAAGGCAGGGAGGTTAACCAGACGCACATCCGGTTTGCTACCCTGCACTGGGGAGGAGATAAAGGGAGAAAAGAGGTTGCGGAAAGATGAGAAGGTACACACAATCACGAGCACACTCGGGGAGCACACACAGTTTACAGGCGGTCGTTGGATATGAGAAGAATATTATAAAACTATGGAGCTATTTGTGTCATGGTAAACGGGGTGCAAACGGGGTAAGCAGACAATGTTCCTAATATAAACGAGTAATTTCAAGGCATCGGAAGAGCATCATGTTTTTACAAATGTAAAATGTATTGCTTGCAGTTAAATGTGGGGTGATCAATAGTCATGTGATCTAAGAAGCTCAGGGTTAAGCACGAGAAATGACACGAGAAAACCGAAGACAATGACCTTTTTTATTAATAATGTATGTAACGAGAGGTTGGTGCCAATCTCTCCTTACATACATTCAATAAAAAAAATTCATCTTCCGGAATTTTATTTATAATATGCGTTCATGTGTGCATAACTTCTTTTCATTAAACATAAAACTGCTATATATTACACAATGTTTGCATTCTAACATTGGGTCTGTTACCTGCTGTAAAAGCTCATTTGCTGCTCTAAATCGAGGTTGTATATGCTCCAGAAGCTGCACATACGCACCTTCTGTCACAGTCAGTCTTAAACAGGGAACCTCGACCTATCTTGTGATGCTTCTCAGAACTAAGTATTGCAGTGAAGCCTTTCAGCTTGACCTACCAGTGGTTGTGATGCATGGTGTAGTCAGCTTTCATTGATTGGAGGCATGCACTTGTTGTGACATGTGATGTGCCTATGTACAACGACTACTTAGCCATACCAAGTAATGCGGCGATGGCGTAGTGGTTAGAGCATCCACCTCGCATGCAAATGGCCCGGGCTCAAATCCCGGTGCAACGCAGTTCCCAACCGGATAAAAAAATTGGCAGCATATCCACGCAGTGAATGATGGATAGTGGGGCAAAGCATCCGTCCATCCATTTGTTCTTGCTTCCGCCATCCATGCGTGCGTCTGCGTGGCCGCCCGTGCGTCCATCCGCCCGTCCGTGCGTGCGTCTGCTCGTGCGTCCGCACGTTCATCTGAGCGTTCATCCCTGCTTTCGTCCATGCATCTGCTCTTGCGTCCGTCCATGCATCCGCTCCTGCGTCCGTTCATGCGTCCATTCGTCCGTGCAGCCATCCATGCGTCCATCCATGCATCTGTCTGTGTGTCCGTTCGTCCACCTAATCAACACTCCAAGTACCACCACCTCGTAAATTTTCATCATATATTCCTCATGTAGAAACACTGCCATCCAGCGGACAATCCAAGGACTGAACGAGAGGAGGCACACGCAGACTTTCTTACGGCTTACGCTTCGAGTCTACTTCCCACCTTTAACCACCTCGAGTTCATGGTATATACTAGTTCACTGTATTCATGGTACTGCGGCCCAACGCTCACTAAACCTCTCTAAAACCCAAGAGGTTACGCCCAGCGAGTATAACGTAGCAACCCTTTCTTGTCTTTTGTGCGTTGTTGAACAATGAAAAATTCGCAGCGTGCGCGTTAAAAGCCGAAATAAAAGCCAAATTCTCCTGTCTCTCATTCCCCCTTTGCGGCCATTGGCATGTACATTGAGCACTATCTTTTATTGTTCAACAACGTACAGAAGAAATCTCTCACCGGCACCACCTTGGAGGTCAAAATGTTATACTTTTACGCACTAACCACGGCTACGGGGACGAACGGGTTTCGCTATAAGGACTTCTCTTTGTTTTTCTTGAGTGATTCGTGATCTGTGAGAATATTGGAAGTGCTGTGTGTCATTCGGTCTATGTTCTCGTGTTCTACACCCCTAAAGTAATTTCGTTACACACAACAGTTGTACTCACCTGAATGTTGTTACCAACCGTATTGCAATAACTTCCCCTTTCGCGCACATAAAACCGCGTGAATAATACACTGCATCAAGAGAGACTGGGCTGCGGCCCCACCTGCAACCACCGCCGAGAACGCACTCCCTCACCAGAGAAGGCGGGCCACCCTGGTGCAGTATCTGGCCACTACCACTCCCACATGCATACGTCAGTTAACTCACGGCCCTCATCCCCAGCACCTGCGAAGCAACTGCCCACAGCGGCAGTCAGATCTGCAACGCAGCAGAGGGTGCAAAGAATTTTTGGATCCGGACAGGTCGCCATTAGAAGCTGAACTTGGCAACGTTTAACGCTAGAACTTTATTTAGCGAGGGAAGTCTAGCTGTAATATTCGAGAATCTAGAGGGTGTAAAATGAATGGGATATAATAGGGCTCAGTGAGGTTAGGAGGACAGATGAGGCTATACGGTGCTACAGAATGGGCACTTTCTTGCTATCCGGGCTTGGAACAGAAGCAACTGGAGTG